TTTTTGGCAGTTGCTTTGAAGGGACACCCTTTGCACTCCTATAGATGAAAACTAGTTTTCGGCTTTTCAATGGGCAAACAGGTCCATGCCGAAAAATTTAACAGTCTCTACGCAGCCTCAACAAAATTACCACCAACGGCGCATGCCTTGAAAACGCAAAAAAAAAAAAAAATAAAAATAAAAAAATAAAAGCGAAACAGAAATCGAGAAGCTGCTCGATTTCAATATGARACTTGAATGCGTACTTGTGTGTGTGTGTGTAAAAATGGGTAACATCTGCCGATGCCGTTGCCGATGTTTTTGCATGCGCTTCTTGCTTGGGCGTTTTTGGCTACACTTTGCGTAGGTCAACGTCAACATCAACGTCAACGTCAGCTTCAGCAGCAGCAGCAGCAGCCTCGACACATGCGCAGCGGCACTTGCTGTTGTATTTTGCTTTGTCTGTGCTTCCTTCATTGATCTTTAACGCCAGCATCCCCTGCACATTGCATGTGGCTTTGCTCCACTTCTTCTCTGCGTTTCTTTGCCGCTCACTTTTTTCCCCCATTTAGTTGCTAATTTTAACAGCACTCGAAAAACTGTCTTGAAACCTCCTGCGGTCTTGAGTTTCGTCCAGCTGAAATGTTGCAAGGCTCTGAGCTTCGGATACAGTAGAAAATGCAGCTGTTGTTATTCAGCTTTAGCCTTCTGAAACATGTTGACTTGAACAATCTGGCAGCGCTAAAATAATAATAGCTTTTTGCTTAAACAAATTAGAATCGAGCATTAAAAGCTCCCTCTCTGCCCGCCCTGTCTCTCTCTCTCTCTCCTTCTGTTCGCTTCTATTCATCGCTTTGCTTCTTATTGCACATAATTTATATTCTCACATGCTGTGTTTAAAATATCACTTAACTATCAAATAACCGTACTCGGTGTCTATCTGCTTATCATACAAATACTACACACATACACATACGCACACATACACGAAGTCGACATGCCGTAATTGTTGTTGCGACTGCGCTTGTTCTTTCTTCTGTTTTGCATTTCGTGCAATTTTCATATTAACATTGAGACAGCGACGTCGAATGAATGAGTGAGCAAATGAATGAATGAATGAATAACTCTGAACTTACTTGCGCCGCTTCATCATCATCGTTGTCTTTGTCTTTGTCTTGCTTGCGCTTCATAAGAGATAATTAATTGCAATTTAGAAAGAGGAGTGCGACAGAGAGGTGGGAGCAACAACTCCCACGCACGCACAGAAGCTGTTTCACTTGCGCTTATAACTGTTTCCCAAGCCCGTTGTTAACGGTTGATTATAATGATGAGTTTAAATGATTAATAAACAACGTAGCAAAGCCAAAGGGCACTCCAGCTCTATCCGCTCCACCTCTCTCCATCTCTCTGTCCCTTACTTTCTTGTCTTACTCTTGCAAGTAGCAGAGGCTAAGCAAACACCTGTAAGAAAATGATATTAAAATGTAAGTAAAGTGCGTGTCTATCCTAACTGCATGTGTGTGTGTTGTAACCCACAACATTCAAACTGTCAGTCAGTCAGTCAGGCAGTCAACGTAAGTTGACGTGGAAGACACTGAGCAGAAATGGCAAAAAGTGCTGAGGGTGAGGGGTAAGGGTGAGCGGACTGCGGGTTGCTTGTCTCGTCAGGCCTGAGTGATCACAGCAAAGGCAAAAAAAAAAAAAAAAAAAAAAAACAACAGAAACAGAAGAAGCAGAAAAAAAGTACCACGTTCATATAGAGTATAAATTTACCATGGCTCGTAAAAACCAACAGCTAACTGAGCAAACGGAGTCAAGCAAAAGGTAAACAATGCAACGCACTATTTTCTAACACTTTTAACAAGTGTCTGTCCCGTTCCGGCTCCATCTCTAGCTCCCTCTCCGTCTCCCTTTCCTTCTCCCTCTCCATGCCTATGCCAGGCCCTGGGATAACTTGGCATTTCAGCTTTCAAGTTCTCTCCACTAGCTCATTTTTTCCCCTCTTTATTTATGTGTGCCCAAAAGGTCTTCAAGCGTAATAAAGTTCATAGTTGAAGGCAAAACAAGTCAAACAGATATAAATAAAAATGAAATAAAAAAAAATATAACAAAAGAACTATAACAAGTGTATAAAATTATGAAATTTAAAAATTTCCAACTAAGGAAATGCATTACAATTTATAATTTTAGAAACTTTCAACGAAAGAAATTTGTATCTCTATAAATTCACTGCTGCATCAGGTGGGCGGTGGTGGTTAGCAGAATTTCCCCGCTAGGAAAATTGTTGCTCGACTGTCAAAAAGTGTGGGAATTTTGTATGCACCGCATTGGAGCATTCAAACGGTGTCAAATTGTTGTACAAAACTATTTTGGCTCTGTGTCATAGGCACATCAGTTAAAAAACTCTGCACCGCTTTGTTTCTTTTCCCACCAACCACGTGTCTGTGTATATATGAGTCTCTCTCTCTCTCTCTCGGTGTAAGTTTGTGTGTAAATGTTTCGCTGTTATGCAAATTGATTTGCTTTGTACATATTTTGACAATCTTTGCCTGCGCCTTTGTTTGAGTGCGCTTTGGCACTTTTTGTTTGCTTCTTCATCTCTGCTGTGCGTTTGTGTGAGTGTATGTATGTGTGTTGCATATCAAATAGCCGAACAGTCCCATAGCTGTATCTATTCATATGCCCTGCACTTGCCTCTTAACCTTCCTTCCGCTTATTGCTTTTTCTAGCATTTCTTTGGCCGAGAGCTTTTTCCATGTGAATATAGAAAGAAGTGCGCAGTCTCTGCCTCTGCCTCAGTTCTGTCTCTGTCTCTGTCTCGCATCAGCAACGCATCATTGCTGATCGTCTATTAATTCTTATTCGTACACTACTATTTTTTTTTTATCGCACTACTCTTCTTCAAAGCGCCGTTCAGAAAACGAGTTTTTGCTCGCTCTTAGCTTCGGCTTCGGTGCTCTCGCAGCTTGCGGAGGCTGTTGGCAGCAGCTGCCAGCTGCACTTTATGAAGCCAGCAAAAAAAGGAAAAAATCATAAAAAAAAACAACAACACTCCAATTCACTTTTAAGTCACGTTTTGCTCTTTTTGCGCTTTGGCGCTGCTCTTTCGGCTGCAGGCTGCACCAGCTGACAACAACAGCAACAACACACGCTAAACTGTTATAGCCATGGGGCTTTTGCGCTCTCTCAGAGAGTGGCTCTCTGGCACTCTCTCTCCCTCTCTCGCTGCCTCTCGCTCTTTCAACATGGCTGGCCGTGCATAGATGCACTGCCGTCTCTGCTGGCCGCTTCTTCACCTGGCGTTCGCTCGTTTCTTGCTTACACCTTTTGCTGCGCCTCCGACTGAGCTCACCGACGCGCAGTCGGGCCGACGCTTCGTCGTTTGTCGCTCGTCGTACGATCGTTCGTTCGTTCGTTCGCTCGTTCGTTCCTTTGCTCGGTTGTTCGTCTGTTCGTTTGTTCGTTTTAACCATCAATGTTGACCGGCAAAATCGTATGCCGTGGGAAACAATTCGGTTTTACTTGTACATTTTTTCCAACGTTTTTCCTCTTCTTCTTCGCTGCCTGTTGCCGTCGTCGGCGCTGTCGCTGCTTCTGCTGCTGCCACTGCTGTTGCTGCTGCTTCTTTTTGTGCTGCTCTTTTGCGTCCGTTTTGCCGTGTGTTGTTTTGTTTTTATTATTTCTTTTCTTTTTTTGTTGTTGGTCCGCTGCTTATTAATACACGTTTTGTTGTACGTTGCGCAGCAGCGACGCCGTCTCAGTCTCGGTSTGCGTCCGCGCCCGCTGCCTGCATTTGTCTGCGCGTTTGTTGCTTAAGTCTTTCGTTTTGCGTGTATCTTGGGCGTTTTTTTTTTTTGCAGCTCGTTTGATTTGTACGAGTCTTATGCGCTATTGCGAACGGCATTCGCAATTCCTAGAGCATCAATAATTTATTTATCTTATCAATTGAATGCGCCCTCCCTCCCTCTCTCTCTCTCTCTCTCTCTCTCTCTCTCTCTATTTCTATCTCTCAGTCTCTTTCTATATTTCCAACAGCATCCCTGACTACAAGTGAGAGCTCACCGCACTTACAATTACAAAGGCGTGCGGCAAATGTTAGCGCCAGAGCTCAATTGCCAAGCCCATTAAATGTTAGTTAAGCAGCTTTGCTACAGTTTTTCATCGTCGCCCTTTTTTATGTGGTCGGTGAGCCACGCTTTATGTTTTCTTTCCTTTGTCTGTTTCGGGCCCCCAGCGGATTACACCTGTGCTTCCAAGGGGGGCATTGCTTACACAGCATCTGAAAGAAGACATGAAAAGAGGCAACAGCAGACGCACTTCTGCTTAATTGAGCAATTAAACACCCATGTTCATACAAAGAGATGAAGTAAGCCAGCAACAACAACAACAACAATCACAGCAACAACAACAACAACAACAATACAAACAATAAAAGCTTCCCAAGCCAACGCATGTGGAGCAACTAGAGAACTAGCTGCGTCTCTTTCTCTCACTCCCGCCCTCTCTGCAACCAGCGCTCATGTCTTGTTAACAATTAAATTGTCATTTTAACAAGCTTCACTTGTTGTTGTTAAAATGTTAATTGCCGAACAGTTATAGCAAACGGGCAGCAATCAGAGCAATAACTCTAGATCGCCTCTTTTTGGGCATTGCCTTGTCGCAGCATTGAGAGTTGAGAGTTTTCAGCCCATTTATGGATGCCATCGAAGTTATAATTATAGATATCTTAAGTGCAGCTAGCAACCAGCATCGAGCAACCGCTGCCATATATGTGAACAAGAATTTCCCTAAAAACATTTCCCAATTTTAAAGCTGTTCCCATCGTACCGAAGCAAAGAAAACTTTCTGCTAATCTTGTGAAATATATATGGCTCTATACATATCTGTGTAAGAGAATAGAAATTAATGAAGTTGTTAACACGCGCTGGCCTATTTTACAAATTCGATCTCACACCCAGCATCGTAAAATGCAAAAGGCGCATTAATTGAGAAATTTATGACAGACGCAACGATCAAATCAAACAAATTTGCAAATTCAAATATGCAAATGTGCTCGACGTCGAGTCACCGCTGCGGCGGCGCTTCAAAAACGAAATCAAACGAGACGAAGTCGATCGGACTCAGTTCAATTCAGCCAAGTCCGAGGCGACCAAAGAGGCGACCGCTCGCTGTGCATTTGTTGCCTGGTTCTTGACTCTTAATATTTCATAAGCCCGCTTTGTCCTTTGCATGGGTCTCTTTTGCGCGATCTGCAGCCAATTGCTACTCGAGTTGGTATTTGGTTTGGGTTTGGGTCTGACTCTGGCTCTGCTGCTGATCGCCTCGYAAAATTCCTCAGCGTGTTTCATTTATTTTTTGTACAGCTTTTTTTCGAACTTTTTTGTTTGGGTTGGAATACCATGTTGAAAGATTTATTGTCGTGTTGCTGGGGATGCTGCATTCTTTTTGATTTTTCTCCTCTTTTTCTTCAAGCCTGTTGCAGCGATCGCAACGTCAACTTAAATAAATTGCTTTTTAATTTGATTATACTAATGCAATATTCTCTCTCTTTCTGTCTCTCCCTCTCTCGCAGGTTCACAGTTCCGGCAATTTTGAATTGCGGCTGAAATACTTCAGCAATGAGCACGGCAGGGACAACGAGGGCCATTGCTGCACTGGTGAAAAGGATGCGACGACGGGCAAGTGCATCGGCACCTGCAAGACGAGATTTCGGGTCTGCCTGAAGCACTACCAGGCGACCATTGACACCACATCGCAGTGCACGTACGGTGATGTGGTTACGCCCATTCTGGGCGAGAACTCCTTCAATCTGACGGATACGCAAAGCTTGCAGAGCAGAGGCTTCACGAATCCCATACAGTTCGCCTTCAACTTCACCTGGCCGGTAAGTGAACAGATAAACATATAAACATACATATAGACATATGTAGATTTGGTCCCCCGATTTGTATGTTCCGTCTATATATAGATCAGCACACTTATTTCTCCACAGCGTGAGTCAGTTTCCTCCTGTTCAGTCAGTCAGTCAATAAAATTTTCATTGCTGTCTCTTTGGCTCGCTGTAATTTCTCTTAGCTCTTCTTCATTTTGTTTTATTTCGTTTTGTGTTTGTTTTTATTATACTTTACTCTGCGGCATCTTTTGCTAATTTGTTTGGGGGCTTTTTATAGCTCAGCGACTGTGCGTCGCACTTATTTCCGCCCGTACCGTAGCCCTGTGTCCTTGTCAAGGGTTGTTGCCACAAACATCTGTCGGCTATTAAAAAAAAAAGTGCGCCGCATAACGCGTGCGCCGCCGCGCACCACCAGCGACAATTTCCAGCTCGCTGACTACGGCCGGACTGAATGCAGGAGGGGGTACTACGGGCTGACGCTTTAAAAGCAACCCTAAGCAAACGAACGTTACTTTTTCTAGACAGATAAACAGAGCGGGAGCGAGAGCGAGAACGAGAGAGATAGAGAGGGAGAGAAAGGGGCGAGTGACTGACTTTTGATCACCTTTGCAGATTTATGCACCACTAGCACCACCGCTGCTTTTGCCATGCGCACGTGTTTGCCTAATAAATTACTCAAAATGTGAAATACTTGCACTCCAAAGCTGAATTCCACGTTTGCTGCTGTTTCTTCTTCTGCTGCTGCTTCTTCTTCGCCTTTTCTGCTCCAGTGGCCAAGAAATACGCGCATATATTTCAGTGGCGGTAGCATGCGATGCATTTCTTAATTATAACGAGTATTACAGCCATATCTACAGCCAGAGCCCCTACATCTACTTTGACTGCCTCTGCCCCTGGCTCTGCCGCTGCCTCTACCGCTGCCTCTGCTAGCATTTTGTAACGTATTTTTCAAGCGACTTTTCGCTTGTCAGCGCGCCCGCAGCCCGTGCGGCGGTTGAATTAAGGGGTGGATTTGCTGCACCACTCCCTGCCGGACCTCTCTCGCTCTCGCGCTCTCACTCTATATGTGTCTATCCTTATCTTTCGCCCGTTACTCGCTCTCTCTCCCTCTCTAATAGCTTGCGCGCATGTGCAGCGTCACTATTATTATCATTACACACATGCGTGGACTAAAGTGGCAAAGTCATGGGTTGGGGTGCCACATACATACATAGATACGTTTATCTAGCYGGACTTAGCGGCACGTGAATTGTGTTGCTGCAAGTTGCATAAATGGCGAGCAGCTGCTGCGGGCTAAGTGAAAATTATGCAGAAATATGCTAAAATGCATTAGCCAATGATAATTAGCGCAGAGTTTTCCCAATGTAAACCACAATTGAGCCACGTGCCAAAAACTGAAGTGTATTTTAAGGTAATTTCTTTAAAATATACTTAGCATAAAGGGAAAATTGATACTTATGCTTAAAATAGGGAAATTTCAGATAAATTACCCGCCCAATAAAACTGTTGCGTAAATTAGGGAAATTTCAAATGGATCCCATGTCTCTCTCAATGACATTTTGTTGTCAAATGCTAAAGAGTAGGAAATTTGGGTATATTTCGGTCAGGCAATGCTCTATTTAGGTGCCAACTTCAAATATTTCTAGGTCAAACTATAAAATGTAATTATAGTGAGCGACTAGACGTGCCACAGTTGCAGCAGCAACTAATTTAATGTTGCACTTAATTAAAAAGAAAAAAAAAATGGAGAAGCGGCACGGGCTGGGCGCGGGGCACGCATGCCACAGCGAGTCGGGGCAAGAGAGATAGATAGATGTTCCTCATGCATTGGGGGGTTGCCGGAGACCCTCCTCTTCAGCTGCTGCCAATCGTTGACTATTTTTAGCACACGTTGTCTGTGGCAGTGCCTCTAGATGCAGCTCTTGCTGTCGCTGCTGTTGTTGCTGTTGCTTGTGTATTGAACTTTGTTACTTTTGTCTGTCCGTCTGTCTGTCGGACTGTCGGCGGGTGTCTTGTCTTGTCTTGTCTGTTGGCTCTGCTGCCTCAGTTGCCTCTGTTGCTACGTGGCTGCCACTCCTACTCCACACATGCGCCCTATGCATTTGGCATGCACTTCACCCTATGCTGCAGATATTGACGTTGATATACAGCGTCGTCGCACGCGATATACGCTCGCCTCTCTCTGTACGTGTGTGTGTGTGTTTGTCGCTCATTTATTTTTGGAGCTCATATACATTATATATATAATATATATATGTTTATATATTATGTGTCGTGTCTTTGTAATAACTCGCCAGAGTTTGCTAGAATATTGCAAGTTTTTCCGCATTTGAAAAATATATGCATATTTAATTGGAAAGCTTAATGTACTGCAAAATTGCCAATAAATGTTTGGGCTGCATTCGATTAATTCCCATTGTTAACTGTTGATGATCTATGTGTATACGTGTGTGTGTGAGTGTGTGTGTCTCTTTCTGTTTGTCTGATTTGTTTCCTGTCGAGCCCATCAGCTTTATGTTTATGTGCGAATGCAGTTTTCAATGTCTGGCAAGCGCTTTAGCTGCTTATGCAATCAAACGGCACTGCGCTTATCAACTAAATTAATTCTACATCTGCCGCCCACGCAACAACAACGGCTGCAACAGCAGCAGCAACAACAACAACAGCAGCAGCAGCGATGCAGCAATCGAAAGTTAGTCGAAAATTAGTCATTTACATGCAATGCATAGTCAGTCGCACTCAAACGCAAACTCGAACTCGAATTCGAATTCGAAGTGCTGCCAAGCCCGACGCAATCACACGCCCAGCAACAACCAGTGCTGCCAGCTTATAACTTTAGTTTGTCTGTCTTTTGGCCACCTCTGCAAAGTAAAGCCCAGCTCTGCTTAGACGTTGCCAATACGCATATATACATATGCATAAATATGTATATATGCACATTTTTATATGTATGTATAGATATGCATTTCGGCTATTCGATTTTGTGTCATCTCTGCCGGTTTTTGCCACGCCTCCCCGCTTCGCCCCTGCCCCACCTCCTGCTTCGCGCTGCATTTGTAATCAAGTGTGAATTGAGGGCGCTGCCAGTTGGCAACTGCTGTGCATTTGCATTTGCATTTGAAATGTGTGTATGCATGTGTGTGTGTGTGTGTGTGTGTGTGTGTGTGTGTGTGTGTGTGTGTGTGTGTGTGTGTGTGTGTGTGTGTGTTGTGCTGTTGGCCAGCTTGGGGCATGTGGGCGTCTTTGGAGCATGCTTTGGCTCTGTCATAATCTGTTTATAATGAGCTCTGTGGGCTGTGGGACTTAAGTGTGAGAGCTTTCGAGCCATTAGCTCTCGATGCTGGTTATGGCCCAGATGATATCGGCGTTAAATGCTAAGCATAAGTGCAACATTTCGTTTAGCCGCAACAAATGGATTACGTTTTCCGTTTTTGATAAGCCATGGCTCTGCCTCGTTACCCAAATCTCTGAATATCTATAACAATTGACTGACTTTCTTCTCATCATCATCATCTTCTTCTTCCTCTTGTATTGCAGGGCACCTTCACGCTGATCGTCGAGGCCTGGCACGATACGAACAACAGCGCCAATGCGCGCACCAACAGTAAGTACCGAAAGTTTTTCGACGCATATCCTGTTTGTAATCATAATTTGCATCCTGCTTCCTGTTCACAAAATTTATGTTATGCATATTTCGTTTTGGCACTGACGAGGATCAATGATCCTGCGAGGGACACCTGATCCATTGATGTGCTCAAATTTCTAGTTTCGCTAACTGCGCAACTAAGCTTGCGTGTGTGTGTGCGAGTGAGAGAGCGTGCACGTGTGTGTGTAAGATTTCCGGCACATTGAATGGTTTTAAATAACAGCCAGGCTGAGGCATTGAGCCGCCAGCGTCAGGTTTAGCACCGTTTGTTAGCCCTTCGGCTCGCCTCTCCTCTCCGCGCCTGGGTTATGGATAAACCAAGCAAACTACGAAGCGAGCACCGCAAAGTTGTCGCCTTTGTTGTCTGCTCACTCCCTTTGGAACGGAAGTGTGTACAGAGGTCGGGTCGTTCGCCGTCGCCGTCGCCGTCGTCGTCGTCGTCGTCGCCTCATTTACTTGCGCTGCAATGCAGGTTTTTAGCTTGGCTTGTGTCTGGCTTTTTCTTAATCACGAACTCGCACACAGGACTTTGATTATTTTTTTTTGCAGTGGAATTTAGTGATCGTGTAATTCATCTTCGAACAATGCGACATGCATTGAGATGCGAGCCTGATTCCACGGCGCGATAAGGACCACACATACCCAGATGCTGGGGATTGTTTAGTGTTATCTGTGTGGGGTCTCTAGCCAAGGACATCATTCTCTTCACTGTGCTATCAATTTTTCTTCTACTTCTTCTTTCACATTTCGATCAGAGCAGGTTTTTCTTTTAGTTTTTCCCACACAATGCCTAAGCTACCTGCCTTTTGTTACCTGCATTTATATAAGTGTACATTTTCTAGACATTTCTCTAGCCACAGATTTATGTAGGTTTCCAGTGAATTTCTATTACCATTAGGCATAGGTTCATCTTTTCAGTTCCTTTAGGAATTTTAATTGTTTTCTCTGCCCGTCGATTTCTTTGCCTTCCTTTAGCCTCAGATATCCTGCTGAGATCTTTCAGGGCAATAGATCTTTATCGGCTATTCGCGGCAGACTCTATGCAATTTCAATTTGGCTCAGTTTTCTAGCCGCTTGTCAAGGATTAATTTCATTATTTCAAAGTCTCCTTTAGAGGTTCTCCCGCATAGTCGAGTCGGGGCTTACGCCTGTCTCTCGACTGCGTTGCATGGCCGGCAACAAGTTTAACCGCTCTTTTTTTCTCGTTTTGTTATATTCGTTTAACATAAATTACATACAAAAAAGGAGAAAAAGACAGCCGCAGTCGCAGTCGCAGTCTCAGCCGCTGAAGAAACCTGCAGCAGAGAGTAGAACGCTGGGGGGAAGAAGAAGCTTCGACTGTTGCGACCTTTTCGCCAGTTAGCCTGCAGGCAGGAGGCCAGCAGTTGTTTGCCTGCCAGCCGACTGTCCAACGGTCTGTCTGACTGGGCAGTAGGTGGCGGAGGAGGAGGAGGAGGAGGTGGAGAGACACACAGCTTGAGCGTCGTGCAAGGTGATTCTTGGCTTGATGCGTCGAAATCTTCCAACTCATGCTTTTGAGATATTCGCTGGCGTTCTTCTTCTCCTGCTTCTCTCTTGCTGTCGTTCTTTTTCTCTCTCTCTCTCTCGTTTTATTTTTTTTTTTTCACCTATCCCTACCTACCAATTAATCTCTGCCAATGCCAAAGTTGTTAGTTGCACGTTGTTGTTGTTGTTGCTGTTGCTGGCGAAGTTGTTAAAATGCTTATCTTTTAATTTTAACTCATTGGATCAAGCAGCAGCAGCAGCAGCCCAGCAACAGTCGAGAGTCCCGGGGTCTCTTTGCCACAGAAACACAAAAGTTGCCCCATCCCTCCTGCCTTCGCCAATGTCTGCTTCGTCGTGTGTCTTGATAAAATGGTATTTTATAAATTCCTTTAGCAGAAGTCAGCGCGCTGCGATGGCAACGGCAACGGCAACAGCGACTGCGACTGCGACTAAATATTTGCAGTTGCTGAGGCCTCACACTTAAGCCTTGCCCCTTGTCAGAGTCAAGTTGAAGATGCTGCCCCTTGTAAATCTGTTGCACACAAATTTCGATCACTTGGCCAAACGACAAAACGAGCAACAAAATGTCGAACGCGTCCTCTGTGGCAACAATGCATTTAGAACAAATTGAGCACAAATTGTCTATTTGCTTACTGGATTATTGAATGGCTGCGGAACAGGGAAATTATTTGTCAACAGGGAAATTATTTGTCAACACTGGCAACATTGCTTACAAAATAAATATCCTAAGCTGGGAAATTTTTTGAGTGCCACTCCTTGGCAACATTTTCACCACTGATAAAATAAAATACCTCCGCTAGGGAAATTTGGGTTATTTTTGTATTTTTTTTTGTTTTTTTTTTTTTTTTTGTGCTTTGACAACATCCGCACATGAAGTTCCCATTATTCATGTCATTAAAATCAACTTGTTAAGCTTTGCTGCGAAAGTTGTCGCACGCAACTTTTCACTTTGAGTGTGTGAAATGTCTTCTCTTCATATCCTTTTTGTAGATAATTAACAAACAAACGAACAAATACAAAAAAAAAAAGTCCAGAAAAAATACCGTTTTGCGTAAATATTTGCAGAAATTGTTGTGCATGATTTTCCACATTTATTTCTATTTTGTTTGCGCGCAACTCGCCAAACTGGACGCTGAAGAAAAAATTAGAGAAAAACCTGCAGTCAAATTGTGCGTTGCGCTTGAAGCGTTGCCGGTACGTCGCGTCGCCTAATAACCTGTCATGCCACAAATCTCTTACACACACACATGTAAGTGCGTGTGTGCTGCAAATGTAAATAAAACCACAAGACACGAAATATTCAATTCTTTTTCGTTTATTTGCAAATTAAATTTTTCATTTTTGGGGGAATGTTGTTGGCGCAAGTTGAGCGTTTTTCCATGTTGCCACGTCAGGTGAAGCCAGCCTGCAACTGGCTTAGAATTTAGTTTATGCAACACACACACACGAACACACACACAAATATTTGTTGCTGCTGCTTTTGGTAATTAATTAGTTGATATTTTTGAATATGGTTATAGTTTAGTCAAAACTTTTGGCAACCAGTTGGGGCGCTTGTCAATGCCAGCTTTCAATTTATGGGGCCAACAGCATTTATGGCCATATTTGTATGCGCCAGTCGAACAGAATCTTAGCCAACAGAATCTGGCCAGCCGCCCCTCGTTCCCTTTTGGCAACAACTTCTGCTTTCACTAACTACTTTTGCTTTTGCTGGAGTGTTTCAAAATAGATTTTCACTTAATTCTTGGCTAAGCTGAAAGAGATTTACTGGCATTTACATATACACAGATACGAATAGGTTCTTTCATTGTATTTGTATTGGTGTCTGTTTCTTTTTCGTTTCTGTAGCTTAACAAAAGTCTTGGCCCGCTTCAGCCGCGGCTTGAGGTTCGACTTGGCTGCATGCAATTCGAATAGTCATGCACCTGCAATTTACTTTATAGACCATGGCATAATGTGGCTATATAAAACAGCTATGTATACACACACACACACACACAGGTACAAACAAGTTGCCATCCAATAGTTTCTCAAAAAAAAAAAAAAAAAAGACCGGTCCGCTTGGCTCAGCGAACAGCTGAAAATGCAACTGACGTCCGTCTGCGACGCTCAGTTGGTCGTGTGTTGCATGGCTGGCTGACTGGCTGGCTGGCTGGCTGGTTGCCTGTTGCCGCCCGCTCTGCATGCTGCCTGCTGCAAATACCAAGTACTTACCCCTGGCTGGTCGCATACCTTGGCATGGCACTTGACTTGTGCGCCTGCGCAACGAGTGTGACAAGCGCAATTGCTTAGCAGTTGGAGTTTTTTCGTATACTTACTATTCGAATTTCTAATCTAACAAAATTCCAAGCGCTCGTTAATGCCGCCACGCCAGCCACAGCCACAGCCTCAGCAAGTTCACTCGATACCCTTAAAAACTGTAAACTGTAAACTGTAAACTGTATTCAATTAATCTTCATTAGGGCTATCTCCAGTCGTATTTTCTCAGCCTTTGCTTACCTCTCTCTCTAACTTCTCATCCCTTTCTCTGTCTAATTTCAGATCTGCTCATACAGCGCCTGTCCGTGCAGCAAGTGCTGGACGTCTCGACCGAGTGGAAGACGAACAAATCCGAATCCCAATACACATCGCTCGAATACGATTTTCGCGTCAGCTGCGATCCGCACTATTACGGCTCCGGCTGTGCGAATCTGTGCCGGCCGCGGGACGATCAGTTCGGCCACTACACATGCTCCGAGACTGGCGAAATTATCTGCCTGACCGGCTGGCAGGGCACGTACTGCGAGAAACGTAAGTATCTAACAGATAAATGAGTAAGCTAGCCTTAAGATACAGATATACAGAGAGATATATATATGTATACGTATATCATCATTGAAAAGAGGCAACTACTTCAGTTCCATTCGCTACAAAAAACGATTTTTACATTCCTTGCGCTGAAGCCCATGGATCTTGTTTGTTGTTGTTGCTGGAGTTGCTGCTGCTGCTGCTGCTGCTGTTGCTGTTGCTGCTTCATCAAGTGGACACAACGTGCCGCGTTTCTTGTGCCGCACTTGACGGGCAGCTCTCATTATTATTGAAAATCACTTGCTTGTCAAATCAAATGAGATGATTGTACACAATATGTGAGAGGAGACAGCAAAAGTGGAACCCACGGGGGGTTGAGGCGAGGGCAGACAAGGAGCTGCTAACGAATTAAAAGTGTAATTATTTTGAATGCGTAGCAGAGACGCAATGATTTGACAGAAATGAAAAACAAAAATTAATGCCAAAAGCACATTTGAATATCGATGAAATACCATAAAGTGGAAGAAATCAAATAGTCAAACAAATACATTAAAAATCAATGAATATTTGTTGAGGTCTCTGCCTCTCTCCTTCTCCCTCTCTCTCTCTCTCTCTTTCGTTTTGTTTATGTGCGTGGAGGAAAAATCATTTGTCATTTGGCGTGGGGCAGAACAAAACGTCTAACGAACTGAAAACCGAAAACCGAAAGAAATCACTGAGGCAGCCACAGCAAAGCAAAGCAAAACAAAAGCAAAAGCAGAAACAACACAATTTGAACTCGAACTCGGCCCTTTGTAGTAGCCCACAAGCTACCTATGCAGCATTTTCGGGGGCACACACACACAACACACACACACACATACGCACGCATAGGGACCGTGAATCAGAGCACACAAAACTGACGAAGAGCACAAAAATCTTCCCACGCCAAGTGCAAGTGGCCCCAGGTTCCATATTCAAGGTGTGGTGTGGACACACACACACACACACACCACGATACACAGGCAATCGCAGCAGCTTCTTGATCATCATGACGTACCGTCGTGGCTGATGTCGTTTTTGAGTATCTGCGTCGTCTGCATGCCGCGCATTGCTGAGGACGAGACCAGAACTTCCTTTAGGGCTGGCCACGGCTGATTACACCATAAATGTGGTCCGAGCTTCCAAACCGGGTCTGCCGAACTGTTTGCCTGCCAGTCAGGCTGCTTCTGCTGCTGCTTCTTCTTTTTTTCGGGCACATAATTTTGTGTCCTTCTGCTGCCGGTTCAGCAGCAGCAGCTGCCTCTTCCGCTCTTTTGGCTGTTGCTATACTTTATTTTCAAGTTAAATGCGCAAAAATGAGCTTAAATTAAGGCACACACACATACACACACACAGAGACGCACACACACACACATGTGCGAAAATTATTTTCCAGCAGCAGCAAATAAAAAGGCAAAACGTGCGGCTGCAAAAAGACCAGAGTAACAACAACAACAACAACTTCTCGCAAGAAGTTGATCATGTGGAAGTGCCTTAGCCTTTATTAAATTGGCCCAAAAGGTCTGCAACTTGTTTTTGTATTTTTTGCCTTTTATATTATTTTTTTTTTTTTGAATGAAACTTCGATTGCTCTGAATCGGCAAAGTGTGTGAGGGTGTGCGTGTGTGTGTATGTATTATAATTTCAAGGAAATGAGCTATTTTAGCCCGAAGCTGTTTGCTTTTCTCTTTTCTGAATGAGCTGCCAGCTGTGGCTGCACTCTGTGTATTTCAACAGACAACAATTGTATCTTTCGTCGTTGTGTGCATACAGGTTGCCAACTGATAGCAGATAATAACAGAAAAGTATCTATGAGATACATATGAGATAAGAACTACGAATTCCGTTTGCATCTAGAGGGTAAACCATGCCCACATGAGGGAAGTCAAGTGAAAGTAAATGGTGTATCATAATCATTAGCTCTACGCTTCTAATCCTCAAGAGGCATTTGCGTTCGGCCATTGCGGGCGTGTGAACACAGGCCAAGAATATGGCAAAGCCGCAGCCGCAGCACGTTTCCAATAGACACGAAACGATCTTCAGACTGGGCTACTACCAGCTAACAGCCAGCAGCAAATCAGCAACAACAACAGCAACAACAACAACAACAGCAACAATAACAAACTCACTTTCAGTCGCTGTGGAAAAACAATTTCAAGTGTTTCAAGCTCGCCTGTTCTGGTCTGGCCTGATCTGGTCTGGTTGGCTCCTCCGCTTGTGGCCATGTAATAAAAATCATTGCCAATTGCCAATATTACGGCTTATATATATTAACTGCGTGCGGGGGAATTAAAAGCGCATAGCAGCAGCAGCAGCAGCAGCAGCAGTAGAAGCAGCAGCCGATCGAGCAGCAGCAGCAGCAGCAGGAGCTGGGAGAGAGAACACGTTTTAGTGATTTTCTAGCAATTTTCCTGCTGAATGAAAGAATATCAGAGTGTCTGCGCTGGCTGACTGGGCAGTTTAAAGAGGAGCTCATTGCCTTATTCGCAGTGTTCACGATTTTCAGCTAGACCCTTGCAACGTGGCGGGCGTCAGCGACGACTCCCCTACTTCCTGCCAGAGCCCAGCCCCAGTGCCAGCCCCAGAGCTGGCCGAAAGAAACATGTTTGCCGCATTCTTGGCCCAGCTTCAGCTATAGCAACAGCTCTTCTTCGCCCTCTCTCGCTCGCCCGCGCGCACCCCATCTCTGTCGCACTCGCTTGAATCCACAATCGAAGTTTTCGTCGAACCTTTTGGAGCTTGGGAATCGGTTTTCGGGCTGTTGCAGCGCAGCTCTTTGCGACCATGGGATTATTTCATTTTGTGGTGTTTCCTTTTGGGTCTGGCCGGGCGCATATTAGAAACAAGTTATTCCTGCTGCCGCACAGTTTAAGAGTCACTGGCGTTGGTTTCTTTTTTTTTTTTTTACTTTAATTTTTTTTTTCTTCTTTTTGTTTTTTTGGGCCATGAATCATGATGATGATGATTTTGGCCAAAAAGTTGTTGTCTATCTAGTGTCGAATTGTTTCGAAGATGTTTTATTTTGGCCCGTTTAGCGGCGTGAAAAAGAAAGTTTGTTTTCCTCTTTTAAATTGCCTCAAATGCTGTTCGCTTTGTCCGATTGTTTCATTGTCTCTGCGCCGCGCATCAATGTGGGCTGTGGTGTCAACGAGTGGGTATAGCTACGCATTGCCAGTGTGGCAGGTGGCAGCTGGCAGCTGGCTGATCGCAGCTGGCCACTTAAAGCCCAAATGTCTGTTGGGAAAGTGTCACTGCTCGTGTCCATTTCATTTCGAGTATTGTTTCGCTTCTTTTTATAAACCCATCAACATATCAATTAATTTAATGGCCTCTTCTCTCTATTTACTTGCAGCCAAATGCGCCAAGGGCTGTGTCCATGGTCAGTGCGATAAGCCGAATCAATGCATGTAAGTATATTAATTCTAATCAATCAAATAGCCTAGGGCCAACTATGTTGCTAAGGACGAGCTGCAACATTTGGCTGCGTGTTGCGCGCAACATGTTGCTAATTGGGCAAAGCTTTGGCTTTAGTTTTTCTCGTCAAGATGAGCTTTTGATATTTTTTATTGTTGTTTGTTTTGTTTGCTGCACGTTTAGAGCTGGAGACAACGACAACGGCAGCAGCAACAACAACTACAACAATTGTCATTGGACACACCTTTTACAGTGTTTTATTTGTGTATGTTGAGTGCTGCCAAGTTTGTTAAAGGGCAAAAGCATAAGCAAAAAACAAACACAACAACAACAAGAACAACAACAAAAGGTGGCAGTAGCAACAAAGTCATTTTGCTTAGCCCGTTTAGTGCACGTTTTGTGCGACCACAAGAAATTCTTTTGGCTGTCCGACTGTCTGGTCGGGAGTGCATTGGCTGTCATTTGATTGTCGAGGTTTTGCATTACAATTATTTGAGTGCCTGCTGAAATAATCAAGTAAAAGCAATACACACACACACACAGTTACGTAGAGGCAAACGAAATTGAATTACAAAGTTTTCCCACATTTTTCATAGGGCAAATGCAACAACAACAACAATGACAAAGCAAGGTGTAAGCGAACACTTTTGACGACGCTGGCAAATATTTTATGCATGAAGTTTCAAGCTCAAATCTCAAATAGTAGAGTTGCCAGCTGTTTTTTTTGGCGTTGCCAGCCCCCATGCAGAAAGCTAATTGCGCCGTTCGCTTAGATTCCATCTGCTTGCCCGATAGATAGCCGAAGACAGGATGTTGCTCATTATTTATGCATTGCTGGCCAATAAAGTGAGTGCCAGTTCCCACTCGGCCGTAAGCGGAAATCAAACATTTTCATTTTGTGGTTCAATCGATAATTGTGCCAAAAACCGAAAAGCAACAAATTTTGAAATACGAAAAATCATTGTGGCACGTCCCCCCCCCCTTTAACGACTCTATGAATGTTATTGATGTGATTTGGGATAAAATGTTTGTTTTATAAATAGGCCCCGACGTGTTGATTGTTCGTAGAAAAAACCGCAAGCGGTTACGCTCAAGTATGCGTGTGCCACTCAGCCGAAGCCAGAGCCAAAGTCGAAGCCAAATCCAAATCCAAATCCAAATCCCAACGCCAAACAGCAGAGCTGAAGGCAGAGCCAAAGCCAAAGCCATTGAAAATTAAAGTGCTTTTTGTGCTGCGCTGCCTCGTAATGGTGGGAATATTTTAATAATTCTAAGCGCGCGCGCTATATGACCAAACACATATACAAACACACTCACACACAAACACACTCACACACACTCGTACAGCTGGTAGTTGACCGTCGCGTCGCCAATGCTTTTGACATTTCTGCTTTGTGTACACACTGACGCATATCAATTACCACTTGTCTCTGTCCCTCTCTCTTTCTCTCTCTCTGTCTCTGCAGCTCACGCCCTCTCGCACTATGTCTCTCTGTCTCTGTCCCTGTCTCGCTCGTTATCTAGCCTCTGCTCTGAGTTATTGCCAATTGAGAGTTTGTGGGTGAAGGATCTTTTGTTAGCATATTAATCGAAATTGCATTTGCGAGCGGCGCACACAATGAGTGCGCGTGCGTGCGTGCGTCTCATGCGCCTTTGTGTGTGTTGGGCAGCGCAAAGTGGAGCGCGCTGCAAATGAAATAAATTAATTTCGTGTTTGCGCAGCGTGAGAAATGCCAAATTGTCTGTCCCCCAATCTCGCTCTCCCTCTCTCTCTCTCTATCTCACTCTCTCTGACTGTGCGGATATGTGCACTTGAACAAATGCAAAAAACGACATCGCATCATTTTATTGTTGCGCTCTTTGACTTTCAAGTTGACATGCCTTTTCCTTAAACGCTTCTCCTCCTGGGGCTCGGCTGTCAAGCACATGTCCCGCTGGAGGGCACCCAGTGCACTACAAATCGTTCAGGGCAGGAGTCAGTTTTAAGTGCAGATCTCAAGCCAAAGTTGTCGTCGTCCGCTGTCCGCCGTCCGCTGCCCTTTCCGTTCGAGTTTATTCAGAGCTGCACCGAAATGCAGCCAAGCGTTGCTGCGCCCACACAGGCAATTACAATACATACATGCCCATGTATTGATTTATGGTGTGTGTGAGTGTGTGTGTGTGTGTAAGAGAGTGATTTGCTAAGCAGGTGATGCGCCTTCTTTCTTTCATGCTTTCGCATTGGCTCAAACTTCAAAAGTAAACCAGCGCCCCGAGCGCATTAACCGTATCCGTCATGTCCAGCAATCGTTGTTCGCTCTGGCCCAGCCGCCTTCTCCTCCTCCTGCTCCTCCTCCAGCTTTGCCTTTGCCTTTGCATATTCCATTGATGAGCAATGCGATTTGTTGTTATTGCTGTCTCTGCTTTGCGCCTCGCATTCGTTCGGATTTCTGTAATGATCGGGAAATAAATTCAATTGTTATCGATAGGCGATAATTCGAAAAGAACTAGTTCACAGTTTCGAGCACAATTTGCACGCTTTTTGAGATTCTCTTGAGATTCGTTTGCCTTCCATTCCATACTAATTAAGTGATATGCTTGCTCTATTTTGCAGCTGCCAGAAGGGCTGGCGCGGACCGCTGTGCGACGAGTGCGCCCCATATCCGAGCTGCGTGCACGGCACCTGCAACAAGCCCTGGGACTGCATCTGCAACGAGGGCTGGGGCGGCCTGTTCTGCAATCAGGATCTGAACTACTGCACGAACCACCGGCCCTGCATGAATGGCGGCACCTGCTTCAACACCGGCCAGGGCCTGTACACGTGCAAGTGTGCGCCTGGGTACAGCGGCAACGATTGCCAGACGGAAATTAATTCGTGCGACGGCGAAGTGAATCCCTGCCAGAACGGCGGCACCTGCGTGGACGAGGCGACGCAGCGCGGCTACAAGTGCGTCTGCCCCAAGGGCTGGAACGGTCGCATGTGCGAGGAGAAGCTGCTCACCTGCGCGGACAAGCCGTGCCACCAGGGCCGCTGCCGTAACACCAGCAGCCACAGCAAGCAGGGGTTTCAGTGCGACTGCCCCACCGGCTACAGCGGACCCACCTGCGAGCTCCACCTAGACAACTGCAGCCCGAATCCCTGCCAGAACGGCGGCACCTGCCAGCCGAGCGGTAAATGCACCTGCCCCGACGGCTACACCGGCGCCAAGTGCGAGCAGAACATCGACGACTGCGTCGGCCACAAGTGCCAGAACGGCGGCACCTGCATCGACATGCTCAACCAGTATCGCTGCCAGTGCGTGCCCGGCTTCCATGGGCCGCGCTGCAGCAGCCGCGTGGACCTCTGCCTGACCAAGCCGTGCGCCAACGGCGGCAGCTGCACCAACCTGAACAACGACTACCAGTGCGCGTGCCGTGCGGGCTTCACCGGCAAGGACTGCTCCATCGACATCGACGAGTGCGGCAGCCGGCCCTGCCACAACGGCGGCACCTGCATGAATCGCGTCAACAGCTTCGAGTGCGTCTGCGCCAACGGCTATCGCGGGCGGCAGTGCGACGAGGAGTCGTACGAGTCGGTCTCCTTTGGCGCCCATCAGTATGGCGCCACGACGCAGGCGCGCGCCGATGGCCTGACGAATGCCCAGGTTGTGCTCATTGCCATCTTCTCGGTGGCCATGCCGCTGGTGGCTGTGATTGCCGCCTGCGTGGTGTTCTGCATGAAGCGCAAGCGGAAGCGCGCCCAGGAGAAGGACGACGCCGAGGCCCGSAAACAGAACGAACAGAATGCGGTGGCCACGCTCCATCACAATGGCAGCGGCGTCGGCGTCGGCGTGGGCGTCGGCCTGCCCGCCGGCACGCTGGGCGTCAAGCGCGGCAGCAGCGGCGGCCTGACCTTCGACAACAGCAATCCCAACATCATCAAGAACACGTGGGACAAGTCGGTGAACAACATCTGCGCCTCGGCCGCCGCCGCAGCAGCGGCCGCTGCCGCCGACGAGTGCCGCATGTATTCCGGTGCGCTGGCCAACTACGCCGCCGCAGCGGACAACAATGCCAACTCGGAGTTCTGCGGCGTGGGCCAGCTGGCGCCGCTGCAGCGCGCCAAGTCGCAGAAGCAGCTCAACACGGATCCCACGCTGATGCATCGCGCCTCGCAGCTGCTGTCCGCGGGCGCTGGAGCTGCCGGAGCGGCGGCGGCGGCAGCAGCTGCAGCGGCAGCGTCTGCCGGCTCAACCAAAGACTACAGCGCGTCAGGCGCTGGCACGGGCAGCAGCGAGGCCAAGGGCAAGCGCATCTCGGTGCTGGGCGAGGGCTCCTACTGCAGCCAGCGCTGGCCCTCGCTGGCCGCGGCGGGCGTGGCCGGCGCCTGCTCCTCGCAGCTGATGGCCGCCGCCTCGGCGACGGGCAGCGGCGCGGCGACGACGCAGCGCACAGTTGTCTGCGGTACGCCGCACATGTAAGCAAAGACTGGCGAGGGAGAGCGAGACAGAGACAAAGAGAGAGAGAGAGAGAGACGCCAAATGAGCCGCATATGGCTTTGTTGTTTATTGAAGCAGTGCAGTTGTCAAAGTTGTAACAGGCTAAACCCTACACACCCACACACAAACACACACACACGTGCATCTATCCATCAATTTTAATACCTTAAATTGTAATTATAACTTAACATTTTAGTTTCGCATGGACTGACGTAAGCATAAAGTTCTCAATGTATATATGTATGTGGTGCATATATGCCTATTCTATATACACGTATATAAAGCTGTTCTCAAGAAACCCAATTGTATTTTTTTTTTTTTTGTTTTTTAACTTGACCCTGGCAAAGGCGCCGCCCTGCGGCAGCCACTAGAAACTCTACACTCTACACTGGACGAAAAAATCTACACACACACACACACACTTACTGACGTTTTGCATGTTACTGAAAAATCTGCTTCAACTATTATTATTATTATTATTATTATTATTATTATTAGAATCACTTAGTTGCGATAAATTGTAAATACTACTTAACGCAAAGAACTCTAGCGCATAATTAGAGACTAATTTAGAAGCTAAGCGAATACAACAATTCCTCATTGACGCTGCATGGTCGCTCGCTCGACTCTACTTGTCTATGCAAAGTAGTGCGCTAGCATTTTGTATATAGTATTTTATAGGTCAACTCTGATATACGAAAAAAAAAAAAGAAACACTTAAAAAAAAAACAAAAATTATATATTAATTACTGACTATCTCGCGCCCTACTTTTAGTGTCTAATAAATAAACATATGCGTAAAGTATAACTAAATTTAACTCTAGCTTAATTATATACACATATTATCTAAAGGCCCCCCCCCACAGACAACAAACAACAAACATGCGAAGACAAACAAAACATTTAGTGATTCTATAATAAGTGCTTAATTTTTACACTATTTACAACTTTTATTTCATACTCTAAAATATTTTTTAATTTTTTTGGCATTTTTTTTTTTTATTTAAATTTGGAGCAATTATAGCAAAGAAGTCAACAATATTTATAGTTAATAACGAAATGTATTGAATTTATAAGTCTTAAGCGTAAAATTATTTGATACTAAATGAAAATTTCACAAAAAACGAACAAAATTGAATGAAATATACAAAAAAATAAAAAAATAAAATAAAAAACAAAAAACTTTAAAAATTTATATGCGTGCGTATGTTTGAAAGTCTTCAGAACAGTATATAGTCTTAATATGATATAAACAAAAGCAAAAAAGAAGTAAACAAATTACATTTAATTTTGATCTCAAAACCATTTAACAAAACAAACAATGTTTAGTATGCAAGTGTGACGCAACAGCTGATTGCGAAATTCCAAAAAATCAAAATTAAATCTTCACAAAACGAACTCATCAAACTTACAGTTAAATTGCAAATGGTTCCTCGTTAGTGTAAAAAGAAAAACTAGTTATAAAAGTGCTGAGTGCTAAAGCGAATACGAAAACGAAAATGAAAAATCAACAAACTGTGCGGCTTACCAATGTTGGATATACTTAAACACCCACACACACACACAATATATATACATTTATATACTTGATTAATCAGCGCTCATCCACACATTTCTCAACTAATTTTTGTAAATATTAACTTAAAGCTCTCTACAATACATTTTGTTATCTACGCTCATACAATATATGATATATGCTTAAATCGCCTATAGAAATATATAGTATACACACATATATATATATATNNNTTTTTTAAATAGTCGTTTTTAGTAATTTATATTTTTATTGCAAAAAGAGAAAACCTAAAAAAAAAAAATACACACACACACACAGGACAAATATGCGTCAGATTGTATAAAGTTGATAAGACCTTAAATACATCTATTTATACAACATGAAAKAAATATTCAAATAGTAGTTACATACATACAATTGTAATTTAGTGTTGTACTTACAATTTAGTCTAAACAATTTTATGAAATTTTAGTAATTAAAAAATGAATTGAAAAACTACAAGAAAAAACAAGAAAAAAAATCACAAAAAAACGAACAAACAAAATGCAAAAGGAAAAAAATATGAAAAAAAAAACAATAAAAATTTGTATGAATGAATTCTAAAAAAAAAAAAAAACAATGTTTAATTATTATTATGAGTTGAAAATTTCAGCAATTGGCCGCTGTGAGTGACATGCAGTTAGGTGGCAACGCCGGCAATAGGTTGCTAAACGCATTTTAAGTGTTGAACAACGACAGCCAGCAACAATAAGGAAATGTTTGGCATTTCCCAAGCAAACGTTGATTGATCATAAACAGCAACGAAGCAAAACAAGTGAAGTGCTCTAGTCGAGGGTAGCCGACTGGCAGATACTCTTGAGGCATGGATGTAATGAATAGATACACGGAACTGCTATATAGAAAAAGTGTAAGCTTATAAGCATTTGTGCTCAAAATAAACACAATATCTAGGGACTGAACTCCCCCTTCGATTCACAGCGTAAGATCGACCCAGCTAGTTTACATACATGCTATTCAACAAAATATTATACCCGAATTTTCCATTCTTCAGTGGGCTCAGGGTATACCAAGTGTTAGCCACAATACGATAGATCTCTCGCCTGTCTCAGCATCAGCATCAACATCAAAATTTAACTTTAATTGCGATTCCATGCCGCAAAAATGCATCAAAAAGACGACAGAAAAATCGCAGCGCGTGAAAAATAAGTGAAATATGTAAATATGTATTTGTGTGTGTGTATACGTATATGTGAGTGTGTGTGTGCAAAACCAGAAATTATCAAAATTTGTTGTTGACGGCATTGGTTCTGTCTTCTTGCAATGTAAATTGTTTGTTTGAGGAGAAGCTGAGTGAGTCGCACAGTGGAGCAAAGTGGAGAGCTTACTATGGAAAATTTTAAAGAGCTGTTAGCTAGATGTCTATTAAAAGAGCATTACAATCGACTGCATATAAATTTGGAATGCAATACTTTAAATAGTCTATTAAATCCATAACTATAAATACAAGAAACCACATCTAAAAACCTTTCACAATTTGGTAGCTCAGCTGCAGAATGTGCCCCATGGTACCCAACGTTCAGCGGCGGCTCGGGCTTGTCTCTCAGGCTGCTCAGCCGCAGCCTGTGGTGGCTGCAACAAAGCATTAACAATAAATTCTCGCATGCCATTGTGAAATTCTCACAATAATCATAAATAATACTTTATTTTTACATCTTAAACGGCGCTGCGGCTGCTAATGAAGTTGCTGCGGAGTGCGTATACGTGTGCGTGCGGATGGCCGAGGGGCGGGGAGGGGGACTAGCTTTATAGTTCTTTTGTGGCCTGTCAACATGGGCTGCAAATATCATAGATATGACTCCGACTGCAGTCGCAGGGAGGCGAAGCGATGCGATGCGCTGCGACTCGAGACGCGGATCCAGATGCCTAATTAAGCAACTTTAAACTTGGCAACACAAAGTGGCAAGTCATTTGGACAGTGGGCAGTATAACTTAATGTGTGTGAGTGCCCGTGTGCGTGTGTGTGTGTGTGTGTGTGTGTGTGTGTAGCCGCTAACATATCATTTACAAAACAATTACGCATACGCCATGGCGGCGAGATGCAACAGCAGAGAGTAAGCGAGCTCCTCTTGAATGCCAAACCATTAAGGTGACCTATGAAAATATTGTGTTAGGCTGCCATCTGATGCCCGTGACATTGCTCATTCAGAGATTTCGTGGGCATCGCGCTCTGGATTTGTTTACCCAGTGCGTGCGTTTACTCCACATTTTGTCATTTCATGGCCCGTGTGGTCCGAGTGCGACGGCTTTGTCACTGGGCACCTAATTGTGTTTACGTAGGCGACTCGGTCCTCCATGAAGTGCCATAGCCAACTCCAAATTAACTCATTGAAAGCGCGTTTCAATTATGTTTAGACAAACAACAGCAACGGGTACAGAGTTGACACTAATAATGCACGCTCTGTCAACGGCTTCAAAGAAAAAAAAAACCGAAAAAAAGAATAAACTACAAAAAAAATATATAAAAAGATCCCAGGCTCTGTTTGAATTTTATGCTTTTGTCTGCGCCTCGCAGCCAGTTGAAAAATGTTTGGCTCAATTCTCATAATACCAAACTAAACAACAACAGCAACAACAACAGCATCAACAAGACCATTGCAGCATTAACAAAAAGATCAACAAAAACTCYGTTCTTGTTCTTGTTCTCATTCTTGTCTCTTTTGAGCTTGTCTCCTATATAAAGTTCTGTAGTCGCGTTTTTCGGTTTGGATTTTGTTTTCTGAATCCATCGTGCATTCATTGTCCGCGCCTAATCACTATAAAAGATCTCGCTTTTCATCTTCGTGACGCTCAACTGCGTTGTTGATCTTGAAAATTTGCTCTAAACGAGCACCAGCAACAGCAGCAACAACCACAACAACAACAGCAACAACAACAGCTGCTGGTAGATACAAAATCAAAATAGTAAACTGAGCAATCGGATTTGTTGGATTTAAATGTGATCGGAAATTGTTGCTGCCGTCAAAGGCTGCAACTATGAACACTGAGAGAAAAAATGTAGTGGATAGTATAATAAGCTTCAGGGAGAAAAAAGCTGCTGCCTTAATTCTCATGATTAATAAATAATTTAAAATATAATAAATAATAATTTAAAATAAATGGAGTCTAAAAATTATTTTTTTTTTTTACTTCCAACTTATTTAGAGAGAGAGAAAAAAAAGGTAAATTAGGTACTTTTTATTTTGATTTAATTAAAAATACTTCAATCTTATTTAGAGAAAAAAAATTGCAAATAATAATATAAATTTTTATTTAATTTAAAATACTTTAAGATATGACACCAAGTTTATATTTTTTATTTTAATTCAATATGCATTGCTTTAGGTCTAAAATTTCTCCTAACATACCAAACTTTACTTTCAATATTCCTTCTCTTACCAAAGAACTATACAAACTCAGAAACATAAAATTTTTAAAGCAATGCGAGCATTTACAATGATTTGGCGCTGTTCCATCTGGGAACCAGCCCCCTCAAGGTAGTTTCAAGTCAGCCCTTCATTACGCTCAGTGTACGCTACTCATATTTCAAAATGTGCCTTAAAACACACACCGCTAGCCCGTAAGTGCCCCATAATTTAATGAGCTTCATTCATTCACAACTGAGATARCCGAGTGTGCATCCCGAGCCGGAGAGGCAACCCAACTCATTCAGCTCCAATTCTATTAAAGAGCAGCCGAATGAAGACGACGACAGGCCGAAAACGAGATGACAAAGACAAGGAAAAAGAGAAAAAAGGTCATCTTATCATAAATAAACTGACATAAAATCAAGAATCAAATTCGAAAGCGAAGACAACCCGAAACATGGCAGTCAGCAGACAAGCCAGCAAATCCGTGGCCAGAAGTACATTGTGGAGAATTACACAATAAATGAAATGCAGACCAATGAAGCGCACTGGACGGACTGTCAGACCGACAGCCAGACAGCCGGACAGACGAACGGACAGGCACGGAGAGACGCCAGACAAAAAGCGCAGAGCCAAATGATTCACTATGGAATTTTATGAGCTGAGAACATTTTCAAACTGCCTTTCAATGCCATGGGATACAAATGCGAGAGTGCGAGCCTCTAAACAGCTGGAAGCTAGAGGCTGACACTGTAGTAGCCAGTAGTATCTAGAGGGAATATAACAACAATACATCTGTGTATATTATTATCTCTAGTCGCATGCAAATGAAATCGATAAAATATAAAAGTGAATGCTGCCAACAGATGCAGAGCGAGATGCAGTTGCTCCCCACAGCTAATTGAGTGTGAAAAGGTTGAGAGAGAGACTGAGCTCCAGAAATTATCAGATTATCATACAAACCGCGCTGATACGCAATGGGAATTAGAAGAGGTTGGAGGTGAATCGAGATCTCTTTTGGAGCTTCAGGTAGCACCGCAGCGCCATTTGAGGCTAATAAATTTCATTCAAACGGACAGCAGACAAAACGTTCAACTTTATTTCGACTGTTGTAATTTATTTCAGCTGGCTAGCGAACGAAAAAGCCAAATTTAAATCTAAATACATGTCCATTCGAGATAAGCCTGCAGCTTCCTTCCAATTCCAAATCKAAATGCGTCTCCTGCTCCAACTTCTGCTGCTGCTGWTGCGCTTGGAGTTTGCCWTCGTTGTCGCTGCATAATTTGTCGTCGCTTGTGTTTTGMTTTTCTCTCTCTCTTTGTTTGTGGCTTTGGTTTTGTTTTTGTTCTTGTATCTTG